TCATTCCTTCTGTATTTCTGTGGCGTTTCAATTTACACCGCTCACAGCAGGAATTTTTCAATAGCATTTGCTGGCCATTTGTGTGTAGTCTACTTCTAGGTACAGAATTACAGATTACTGTGACGTGTTCTCTTTTTGTTTTATCTGTGTGTTACCTGTGGTCCCAGCTAGCTTGTACGCTCTTTGATAAACACTGTTCTTTTTGTTTTGTGTCATTTTCTTTCTCCTGTAGACCTTTCATTATTGAGGTTCCTCAGTGCTGAACTAACAAGAGGGTACTTCCTCGAACATAATGAGGCCAAGTATACCGAGAGAAGAGAGAGAGTGTACACTTGTATGCGAATACCAAGAGAATTGGAAAAGGTACTATTTTTTTTTTTATTTCTAGACATCATTTGAAAGTTATATCAACGTGTTAATTATGAAAATTATTGAACAGCTTCAGTCGTATTTTTGAAATACTGAAAATATGTGGTAAGTAATTAAATATGTTGGGAGAATAAGAACTCCCTTACAGGAAGAGGCTTTTAAAAAAGTTAAATTATCAGTGGTAGTATATTAATAAATTTCATCCAGATCTTAATTTTGCTACTAATTAATTTTATATTTGTGTCCAAATAATCTTTCCTAAGGAATCAATATCTGCCTCTGTGGTCTTACAGTTCCCTTCAGTTTTACTAGAACAGCAGCATCTTTCTGTTCAGTGTGGTGCCCTGTTCTAGTTCAATCCTTTCTAAGGCTTCCTTTTCTCAGAAGGCCTGCATATTTAAAAGCATAACCGATAGTTTCTTCAAAGAAAAAGATCATTCGTTTAACTTCCATATGCTAAGCAGAGCGATAGTGGTACTCAGTCCTTCCATATCGTTCCCCTTGTCTGTCTCAGCCCCTTCATGGTCACTCAGAGGACAGAAAAGCTCTTTTTCCTCTAGGCACTGCTAGGGTTGCTGAGTCTGAGCAATTTCAAATTTTCTTGCTGTAGGAAATACTTCAGCTTATCTGTATGGAAACATGTTTTCACGCTTTTATAGTAATATAAGGTTTGTAACAGTGCAGTGGTTTCTTTAGAACCATGCTTTCTGCTAGAGTGGCTATCAGGAGGATGTCATTGGCCTGCTCTATCAGAGCCCTGCAATAGCAAGAGGTGTGGTAAATAATGGGAGGCAGGGGCCCAGCCAGTTCGGCTATGTTCTTTTCTCTCTGATAGTCCACGGAGGAAGAGAGCCAAATGCAGAGTGGCAATTTCAGCAGCATTGCTTTACATAGGTTCTTAGAGGAGTGCCACCTGCTGAAGTTTTAGGGAGTTCCGTATTGTTGCAACACTAAGAAAACTAATGAAGTGGGGAGAGCAGAGTGGGGAGAGAACAAGGGAGGACGACTTGATGGTGTTTGATGAGGCTCATTCAGAAAACATGCCTTGCTACTGCTGCCTTTCTAGGAAGGACAAACCTGAGGGACTGATTGACAGAGGAGGGTGATGGTGGACTGTGAGTGTCTGCACATACTCCCTCGGTGCAGCAGCAGCTGCATTTTCTGTGTTGAGGTTTATCTTCAGATTTCATCTGGGGCTGGAGGTGAAGAAATAGGGAGGGGTGTTTCTTCTGCTTGGAAGGAAACAAAAAATGAAACCAGTTCTTTTGTCTGTAAATACCTTTAGGTTGCTTTTCTGATCTTACTTTTTTCACATAAGCCATGTGAGGACATGATGTGGGGGAGGGGGCCACAGCCTGCTGGAACTTATGTTTGTCCAGGACAGGAGCTGCGTAGTTAGTCTTTACCCACCTGGCCTCAGCCCTCTGTAGGGGAAGTTTTTCTCTCATCTGTTTGAGCATGCTGGACTCCCGTTTTTCTTTGGGAGAATGTAGAGGGATTTGCCTGTAACCCTTGGCCAAACTTCATGAACACAACCAGAAGCCTGACTCACAGTGGGATGGTGTCTTTCTGACTCCTTTTGTTATTCATCCCATGACAAAACTAATGAGCAGAGGCAAAACCCACTCTAATTCTGTTCCTCCTCAGGGCAGGTTCAGTGCACACATCCTACTGCCTTCATGCTTGCCCCTGAGTGTAAATTGTCTTCTGGGGAAAATGCCCAATGGTCTTGAAAACTAAGTATGAGCACGTGTGTTTTTTTGTAGCTAGGGTTCACTATGGAACCACTGTTGATCAGATAGTCTCTGTGGTAAGTTGCCATCAGGATCTCCTTTTTTTAAAGAAAAGAATAGAAAAGTATCAAGAGCATTGCCTATATAACAATTAGTGCTTATGAAACATTAAAAAAGATGAATTAACACTGCTCTTACACGATTGCAATAATCTGACAATTTTGTTTCTCATGAAAGAATTGATTTAGCCTCTTAACACTTCAGAAGCTTCATAGCTTCATGGACGAAAGGATGTTTATTGTATTTTTCAGTTTAGAGCAATTTCTCCTTGACTTTTAAGAGCAAGTGAAGTGTAGGGGAAAGCAGAGGTGAGTTTCAACATAATTCCAGGCTTCACATGTCAGCACAAATTCACTCTGGTATCTTTAAGGCCTTTATGTTATACAGGTAGGATCTCACTTAAAGCTGTTACTGTAAACCTCAAGAGCCTATCTAGACAATAAGTTAATCTAAGTTAGTTTTTATCAGCTGCCTTATAGGTAACATTTTCTTTTCTAATATATATCTTACCAGTTTTTTGATTTTTGCTTTTGTTATGTGATATTTTCTTCTAAATTTTCATGAAAAAACTTGAAATTAGGGTATATTTTGCTTCTACAAAGGTTGCAAATACTGTAAAACATGTAGCTAAGGTTTATACCTTAAGGTCAAAGGAAAGATCAGCTCTGTCTCTTACCAAACCTGTTTACTAAAGGAAAATTTAAAAATCCCAGAAATTTTGTGTAATACTATCTCTGGATTAACAATTTACATTTGACATTTAGTAAAGGTGAATCACTCATATATGTAAAATAGTATTTCTCATTTTTCATTAATACTTTTTTGTCACTCGAATGCTTTATTCCTCCCTTTGGTGAGGCTGGAATTTGAACTCAGGACTTTGTGCTCGCAAAGTAGGTGCTCTACCCTTGAGCCACACCTCTAGCCCATTTTTCTCTGCTTATTTTGGAGGTGGGCTCAGGAGAACTATTTGCACAGGTTGGCCTTGAACTGCAATCCTTCTAGTCTTAGCTTTCCAAGTAGCCGGGATTATAGGCGTGAGCCACCAGCACCCGCCACACTTGAACATTATTGCATTCTATGAAATTTTAAAGTGTTTTATTGGTTTGAGGAAGGACATTTCTTCTTTTCTACCTACATCCCTCTTCCTTAGTCCCCACACACCCTTTGGGTTCTCATTCCCAGGTCTGCTCCTGACTACTTTGTGGTCCACTTGGGAGCTTTATTTTCTCTCCTAGAACCGAGGAGATAGACCTACACATTCCATTCTAGATTGAGAAGCAGGATGGTGCATGGTTAAGGGCATGAACTCCAGAGTGAGGCTGCTGCTGCCTTCAAATCTGGGCTCCACAGGCTATTAGCTGTGAGTCACTGAGTAACTCACTTTACCTTCCTTTAACTCACTTTCTCAGGTGTGAATTAATTAAACGGTGAGCCCTATACTCCTTCACTGTAGCACCTTTTGGGGATACCCTGCCTGCAGTGGGTGGAACAAGAGGAATTTTAGATGCGTCCTGACCCCAGTTTGCCTTCCAGTACACAACTCTGTCAGAGGTAGGGGAATTTGCACCTTGGGCTGAGCACTGCAGGAGATGCTCTGGAGAGACCTGGTTTTCCTGTGTCACGGTTTTTTTTTTGTTGTTGTTTTTGGTGCTATTGGGGTTTGACTCAGGGCCTCATGATCCCTGGGCAGGTGCTCTACCACTTGAGCCACTCCACCAGCCCTTTTTTGTGTTGGGTAATTTTGAGATAGGGTCTCACAAACTATTTACCAGGTTGATCCTCCTTAGTAGCTAGGATTATAGATGTGAGCCACTGGCATCCAGACCCACTTTTATCTTAGATTACATTTTTAGTCTTCTTGCTTTGCTTGCCATTAAACATGACTTTGATAACCCTGCAAGGAACATCTGACTCTCACCCTTCTTAGGTTGTTGATCATAGGCAGAAAGAGCCCCTAGGGAAAGCTGGTTTGTTCCCTCTTTGCTTTTAGCCAGGCTGCTTTGGGGTGAAGCTGATGGTTTTCATGAAGGACTTATTAGAGAGCCATAAGAGACAACACAGCCTTCCATTTTCTGTCACGCCCTCTATTGTCTGCCCTCAGTGGATGGAGCATAGGTTAGGACAGGTGGTGCTTGGTAAAATCAGGGCAGGGGCTTCCAGTTTCCTATAAGGAAACTTTCTGATGCATGATTTCTGACTGCCTACCCCACTTTGATTTGGTCACTTAGGTCTCACCTCTGGCATCCATTTCTGTGTCAGTAATCAAACAAACAACAGTTATCCAATAAGGATTAGGTGCTAGGCACTGTCCTCAGCACATTGGGTGTCTTCACATTAAATCCCCTCCATAGTCTCATGAGATAGAGAGTTAAGTCTCATGTCTATGTTGATTCTAGACAGGTCTCAGCATCCCTGCACGTTCTGGTAGAGGCATGTGCGAGGACGTTCTCTGCCTTTTGACCCCACAGGAACAGGTTAGCTTGTGTCAGGTACAGAACTGTCCCTTGTCCAAGGACTAATTTTGCTAATCTGTGTAACTCTAAAACCAAGAAATGTTCATCGTAGTATTTTCTAAAATTTCCCGATTTATTTAAATGCCAATTTAAAGAGGTAAATATCATTTACTCATCTACTGATTTGTTCTGTTTATGTTTTAAGTGCTTGTCATGTTCTAGGCACTTTTGTAGTGTGGAAGTAAGAGTGAAATATAAAACTCAGATCTTAGCCTAGTAAGAGATATAAAATACATAAATAATTATAATAGAAGATACAAAGTGATAAGCACCATCAGATAGTATAAATAAAAGACTACGAAGAGTTTAGAGAAGAGAAAGTTTGCCTAGATGATAGGCCTGCAGAGTAGGGCTGGCGAAGGGCTTGTGAAGATAATAAATGGCAAGGGTGGAAGAAAAAATGGTACATTTTGTGCAAGTATCAGAGGATGTATATGTGCTTGCTGGTGGTGAGGATAGGTGTGCTGGGAAGACACAGAGGCGGGGAATTCTTAGGAATGGACAAGGACACTGGAAAGATAAGCTGAATCCAGGTTATGTTGAATGGTCAGGCTGAGGGCTTAGAATCTAGGTTTTACTAGTGGGGATGGGGAACTGTTAAAGACATATTTCTTAGGAATGCTTCTAGCTATAACAGCAAGCTTAGCTAACATGGCTTAATCAATCAAAGGTTTTGTTATTGTCG